TGGTGCCAGCCCGCCACTTGAGAGCTGCACAGGCCCACGAGGTGGGTGTGCTGCAGGAGGATGTGTCGGAGGTCCTCGGCCGGGAGCGACCAAGCAGCGGGACGCCCGAGCCATGTGCGCCCCCGGCCCGTGAGCATCTGATGGAGACGGCCCCGGAACGGCTCGTCGTCGGCGCCCCTCTGCAGGTGCCCCCGGAAGCGAATGCTGGGGCCCCTCCACCATCAGCGGATGGAGGCCTGGAGGGCTCGCGGAAGGAGCGGCTCCAGGGGTCGGCCCGACAGGCACAGACCCAAGGAATGTATACAATCGGGGAAGAGGACCACTTCACCGGCGAGCGCCGTCCCCCCCCCCCCAAGGGAAGAAGCGCTCGAGCGAAGCCCGTGTCTGGAACACACCCCGCCAGTCAGGGAAGGTGTTCGTAGCCGCTCGCGCCCTGCACACAAGGCTCGAGGGACGACTCCATCGGAGGCTCCTCAGGCGTTACAGGCCTCAGAGTATAGCGAGCTGCTCGATCGACCCCATGGGAGCGAGCAGCGAGGATAGGGACGAGAAGGAGGAGCCCAGCGTAGAGAGGGAAGAGGAGGAGGAGGAGGAGAAGGAGGAGGAGGAGGAGGAGAATGAGGAGGAAGGGGAGGCGGGAGTGAGGAAACGCGGAGCGCCGCTGATTCAAAACGAGGACCCATCACCACAGAAGGGTTGGAAAGCATATTAACAAAACGAAGCTCATGAATCTGCCGCGTTACTGCATGAACGTGAGCGCCTTTGACGCTACTGTTGCTCGATTGCTTTGGGGCACGTGGGCGCCCTGCTCAGCTGAAAACCTTTTTAATGTGACACGCATGGCGCACGCAGTCGCTGGCAATGACAGTTCAAGGCGAGTCGTGCTGAAACCCTCGGGCCGAAAAACAACAACATTAGCACTTGGCGCAGTCAGACCCCAGAGAGGCAACGACTACGATAACCCAACGCCGTCATTTGCATCGCGGCCGGATGGAAAAGCGACGAGGAGGCCAAGCCAAATTCCATGCCAAGCGCGTGAAAGGATCGAACGCGCTGCAATCGAACAATACTGGGCGCAATATCGACCTTGGGCTCGAACGCGGTCCCACATGTGCTTGCTGCCACGGGGAACGCGCGCACGAGTGCTGGCTCTTCCGAGGCTAGCGCAGATCTAGCGCAAAAGGCGAGAACCCACAACCTACAATGAACAACTCTGCGTGCCCCCAACGCCCCCACAGGCGAGTGCGCACGACACGCTGGGCACGAGACGCAGAAATACCCCATACCTGAACGTGCAGCTGCAGCTCGCCTGCTCTGATTGCAGCACGCATGGCAGATGCTGAGCACGGGAACCCGCTCCCCGTGCGGAAGCGCCGCGTGCTGCCTGTGATCACGCGCGCGGACACCTTAGAGAGGCGAGGCGAGGCGAGGCGAGCACCGAGATCCGCAGCCGTGCCCCCGCGCGGCCGCGCGCCTGGAAGGCGTCGGCGGTGGGGCCGGAGCTCCTCAGAGGATGGCGAAGACGTTTCCGGGCTGTGACCAGCCGGCTGTCTTGTTCACCGAATTCTGCTATCTCATCGTATCTGTGGTCCTTCGAACACGAGATGAAAACACGGATGATGGCGAAGAGGTTTCCGGGCTGTTTTTTTCTCACGCGGAGCACCAGGCAATGTCCACAGCTCGATGTCTCCAGCCAGGCCGCCGGCTGCCAAATGCACGCGCCCGCGTGCTACCCGGCAGGCCCGAAGCAAAAACTCTGGACTGGGGCAGCGAGGCAGACGCATACCTCATGGGTACGGTGTTCGGACATCCCGCAGGTCCCGAAGACGTTTCCGGGCTGTGACCATTCGCCGGTCTTTTTAACCGAATTATGCTATATCATCGTATCGGTTGTCCTTCACACACGAGATGAAAACGCCATCACTGAGCTCAAGATCGTCAGCTGTCAAGTCCGCTGTGACATGAAGCATCAATCGGCCGACATAGGAGGAGTACGCTAGATCGTCGCAATCCCCTGCTCCGAATCTGTCAACAAACTTCGTGAACACTCTTCATAGAGAAATGCGCTTTGGTTGCCCGAACAGATGCTGTCGCCCAGACTCGTTCTGGATCTCGATGAGAAGTGCATCCATATCCAGATTTGCCTCCGATACCAACATCGACTCGTCGTTAGAATCTTCTGAGCTTGGCCCCTAAAGCTCTCAACTTCGCTCCAGGGTGTATTTTTCTTGTCGAAGGCAAATACCCCTAGTAGCCGGAACTCTGAAAAGAAGCGTGTCGCGTGTTTTGGGGTATTACTATTGCTATTATTGCTGTACTTTCGCAAACGATGTGGATACGGCCTCCTCCTCGGAATCCTCCGTCCACAGACCTGCGCTGCAGGGCGGTTTGACTAGGATCTCGACGCGAATGCAGCCGTGGTCCTGCCCGCCTCCAAATGAAAAATTGCCTGGCGAGGGACCCAACCATATGCAGCTGCTTGATACGCAAGCAATGTAACGAAGGAGGGGCCGAACAAACTGCAAAAAGCGTCGGATGCGGCCCTCTCCTCATGAGCAGCGAGCCGCAAAAAGGGCCAGCGTCACAGAAACGCGGGCAATCCCGCAGGGGCCTTCGGTTAAGCTCCCTACAGGGTCCGATACGTGTGAGGGGGGTGCCGAAATGGGCGCGGCGGTAACACGCGTGCCCTCCAACTGTAGCATTTTGTGCAGCTCCCTCTGGAGCCGCGAAACGTGTGAGGGATGTGCGCCGAAATGGACGCGGTGGCATGCGGGCCCTCCTGCTAGGGACCTCGGTGGAGCTCCCTGCGGGGCCACGAAACGTGCGAGGTGCGTGCCGACATGGACGCGGCGGTGGCGTGCTGGCCCTCCCACTGGAATCTTCGGTGAAACTCGCTGAACACGAAGCGTGTGAGCCGTTTGCCGACATGGACGCGGCGGTGGCGTGCGGGCCCTTCCACTGGAATCTTCCGTGGAGCTCCCTACGGGACCACAGAACGCGTGAGGGGTGTGCCGAAATGGGCGTGACAGCGGCATGCAGGCCCTCCCACTGGGGCATCTGGTGGAGCTCCCTACGGGGACGCGAAGCGTGTGAGAGGTGTGTCGACATAGGTGCGACGGAGGCCGATGCTCATGCTGATGCTGATGCTGATGCTCGTGCGGCTGATCGTGATGACGCTGCTGCTGAGCATTATGACATGAGTGTGACTGTGATTATGATGATGATGCTCTTGTTGCTGATGATGACGATGGTGCTGATGACGATGACGATGCAAGTGACGATGATGATGGCGATGGTGATGACGATGATGATGATGATGATGATGATGATGATGATGATGATGATGGTGCTGATGATGATGATGATGATGCTGATGATGATGACGATGGTGGTGGTGGTGGTGATGCTGATGCTGATGCTGCTGATGTTGATGCTGAAGCTGAAGCTGATGCTAATACTGCTGCTGAACATGGTGATGGTAACGCCAGTGAATATGATGATTCCGATAATGACGATGATGCTGATGACGATGATGGTGACGACGACAATGATGATGATGATGATGAAGATGATGGTGATGATGACGATAGTGGTGATGATTATGATGATCATTATGATGATAGTGATGATGATGATGATGCTGTTCATGATGATGATGCTGATGATGCTGATGATGATGGTTATGATGATGTTGATGATGTTGATGATGATGATGATGATGATGATGATGGTGGTGGTAGTGGTGGTGGTGGTGGTGGTAGCGATGATGCCGACGACGACGACGATGACGACGACGAGAGAGGACGGGGAGGAGGAAGGACGGAGTGTCGCGGGTCGCTGCGGATTCCAAGCAAGTACCTAACACCAAAGGATGGTTTGGACCTGTGCAAACTCGAGGGCATGGTGCTTGTGTGCTACTTCTCTCTGCGGCACGTAGAGAACTTGGCGGCGAGGAAGGTGGAGCAGTGTGAGGGGTCTGCCTGCCAAGAGGCAAGAAGCTTCTTCGAACAGGCCAGCTCTGCGAGCCCGAGAACGGCGAGAAACCTCCATGGAGCCCCGTTCCTCCAGGACCTTTCTTCTTCGGAGTGGAGTGATGAGGCAGGAGCCGACTGATTGCCTGATATGCCTGGGAGATAGTTGGAGGAAGAGCGCGCCATTCGCGCCTGCCGGCGGGGCTGGCGGGGCCACCGGGTGCCCCCAAGAGATCCGCCGGAAGGCCCCCGAGAGGCCACCCTCAAGGGACCGCCAAGAACCCCGTGAGGCCTTCGACGAGGCCCGCCAGGCCCTCCAAGAGGCAGTCCAAGTGGCATGCAAGAGGCCCATGGTCCACGACCCAGGCACTGAGGCGAGCCCATCCCAAGGCCACTAGATGCCTGGAAACACAAAAGAAGTGAGGGGAAACATTCGTGGAGAACCGGCTCAGGCGTGTGTTGTGTGTTGTGTGTTGTGTGTTGTGTGTTGTGTGTTGTGTGTTGTGTGTTGTGTGTTGTGTGTTGTGTGTTGTGTGTGTGTTGTGTGTGTTGTGTGTGTTGTGTGTGTTGTGTGTGTTGTGTGTCGTGTGTCGTGTGCTGTGTGTGGGGGTGTAGTGTAGGGGTTACTATATGTGTGTGGGGTGCCACTGTGTGTGTGGTGTGATGATGGGTATATCTTGTGTTGTGGAGGTGTGTGTAGGGTGTGTGTGGGTGTTCCTCAGTGTGTCTGGGGTGTGTGTGGTGTTGTGTGTGTGGTGTGTGTGTGTGTGTGTGTGTGTGTGTTGTGTGTGTCGTGTTGTGTAGTTGTGTGTTGTGGTGGTGTGTGGGGGGGGGAACATATCGAGCTGGAAGCGGCGATACATCCGGCGATAGGTTCCCTGTAGCGAAATCGCACGGTTCTGGGCGGGGTATGCTATCGGGCCCCGCTCGGCGATCAATGAGCGGTTGGGGGGCGCTGCGTTCCCCCCTGAGGCTATGCCCCTCACGGCGTTGTCCCTGACTCAAGAAGGAACAGCGGGCCGACGGCGCCTGCCGGCGGTGCCGGCTGGCCACTCGGCGCGGCCGCCGACGGCAACCACGACCGCGCCGCCTGGGCGCGCAGGCGCGTCGGCCGGCTGTGACCCGGCCCGGGGGAGGACACAGCCAGGGGCTCAGGTTCGAGGATCGAGGTGCTTGTCGACTCCTGTGGCCCCGCGCCTGGAAACCTCCACGGCCCTCCGACGGACTCAGGAGACTTCATGGCGACTCCCGAGGACCTCGACAGAGCTCCGACGGACTTTGGAGACTTCTTGGGCGAGCAACGACATATGTACATGTACGCCCTCCGCGGTCTTGCCTGCACGAGCGTCCGCGTTGACACGCACTCCAGGGGAAGCTAACCGCGTACGTGTGCACATGTTGCTGGCCTACTTCTGGGGACCACCGCCCCCGAGCACCCACGGGGCCATCGGGTGGATCAGGGGGGGGGGACCCGGGGCGGTGGCACGCCCGGGCGTCACCCAGTACTGGGCGACGCGCATGCGTGCAGTAGCTCCAGCACCCGACGGCAACACTGCCAGCAGCGATGGCCCGTCCCGCGGAGATCTTGATCTGCATTGCCCTCAGCCTACTTCAGGACAGCGCTTGAATATGCGATCCTCGGCCCTCCATGTCCTTCATCTCTCCCCGTCTACCCAACGGCACTTGCTATCCATCATGGATGCCCGCCGGCCTGATAACGCCTGCTTCCGTAGCAAGACACAGTACAGAGAAAAGAATGCACACGACATAGTGTATACTACACACACGCACGCTATACACAACACGATTAATACAGCCATTGTTGCAGCGACAACGGCAACATCACACCCACGAGTGAAACCATGATAAGAACGATACGGCAAACGTTTACGTCAACTGCACTAACATGTTTTACTATTCCTAGACCGTCCACAGACATCCGCACCACCTTCGTTTATCCTGGACGGTGCGCCATCCCCCCCCCCATCCAGAACCTTGGAACCACGAAGGGTACCTCAGAATCTCTACTTGCTTACCTCCCCCATCCCCCTCATCCCCCTCCTCCTCCTCCTCCTCTCCTCTCCCTCTCCTCTTCCTCTCCTCCTCTCCTCCTCCTCCTCCTCCTCCTCCTCCTCCCCCTCCTCTTCCTCCTCCTCCTCCTCCTCCTCCCTCCTCCTTCCTCCTCCGCCTCCTCCTCCTCATCCCTCTTTCTTCTCCCCTCTCCCTCCCCCTTCTCCATCTTCCCCCTCCCCCTCCCTCTCCTTCTTTCTCCACCGCTTCCTCCTCCCCCCCGCGGCTGCCTGGCGCCAGGTGCGTCGCGAGCAGCCTGCAAAGGAGAAAATAGCCTTGCCCCAACCCGCTGCCCGATGAAACGGGAGGAGGCGGAAGCAAGAAGAGGTGTATGGGCCGGAGGGGGCAGGGAGAAAACGGGCGGGGGGAGGGGAGGGGGAGGGGGGAGGAGGAAGCGAAGGAGGAGGAGGAGGGTTGACGATCCGTGTATGTTTTGCCTTTGTTGTTTGTTCTGTTTTTTTGTTTCTCTCTCTCTCTCTCTCTTTCTCTCTATCGCTCGCTCTTTCTCCTTCCTCTGCCTCGGGGCGGTCAATCATCTGCGGCCGCTGGAGGGCGGTGGGCGAGGAGGGGGGCTGGGGCGGCACGGCCGCTGGCATGTACGGCGCGGCATGCGGTCAGCAGAGGGAGCCACCTAAGAGAGGTCTCATGCAAATCAAAGCGGGACCTCGCCACCCCTGGGGGGGCTGCGAAGTCTGAAGCTATCGCCACTTTCGGGTGCTGCTGGATAGACCAGCAGAGTGGGGCCCCACGCAGATTCAAACGGGACCTTCCCATCCCTGGGGGGGGGGGCTGCGAAGTGTGAAACTGTCGCCACGACCAAAGGCTGCTACACTTTCGAAGGCTGGCGGCACGCCTGCGCGCGTTTGGTGCTCGCACCAAGAGGTGCAGGGAGGAAGCGGAGAGGCTGGCTGGCGAGCTAAGCCTTGACCTCTCCTTACACTGGCAACGGAAGTCTTTAATGCTCCGAGGCGCTGCAGCAACGCGGAGCGCTGGCCGCGCACGTGTTGGGAATTTCGGCATGGAAAAACCGGACACTTCATTGTCTGGTTGCGTCTCCGCCTATGTAACCTTATCTTGCCCATGCTCCATCATCTCGCGGCTTCTGCCGAGGTGTTTGCTCTTGCACCCCGATATCTTCCTTTGCTTCTCCTTCCGAGTAAAAAGCCTCATGGCCTTTTGTACCTCTGTTCTGCGAGTCGGCCACGCACACTTCGCATGAGATAGATATCTGCCGTGCACCGTCTCTTGCAGTGTTGCTGTCACCGTTCTGTCCGCACACCATGTATGATCCCTTAGTGCCGATGGATTGGGTGCGTCGCAGGGTAATGTATTGCGTGAATCTCCCCGCTGCGACGGCCACCGTCGGAACAGGCGGCCTCCTCATGGACACTTGCTGGAGGGCCCGGCGCCTGCCGGATGCCCCGACGCCTCTGAAGAGGCCTCCGGGGGCTGAGGAGGAGGAGGAGGAGGAGGAGGAGGAGGAGGAGGAGGAGGAGGGGGGAGAAGGAGGAGGAGGAGGAGGAAGAGGAGGAGAGTGGGAGGGGGGCGGAGGAGGCGGAGATCTCCAAGGGGCTCGGGAAGAACCTTGCCGTCGTGGGGGGACCGAAGTGCTACAGGCAGGTTCGGTGGGTCTGTCTGGGCCCTGGGGCTTTCCTCGGGGCGAGCTCTGACGGTCCTGGAGCCCGGACACGGCCCTGGGAGCCGAAGACGGCGACAAACCTCCTCCCCTCAGGAGCCCTCCTCTTGTCAATGCCGAAGGGGAGGGGGTGGGGGGGAAGCGCATGCCGCCGCTGCCGCCGCCGCAGTCGTCGTCGGCACCGCCGCCTTCGCCGCCACCGCCCCACAGCCGCCGTCCTGATGCCACGCACGTGGGCTTGCCTGAAACTCAGCAACCAGCCGCGCCTCGCCAGGCGCTCTCCCACCGCAATCGCCCAGAGATGGCCCTCCAGCTCTGTGAAACCAGAAGGTCCGCCACCGTGCCGCTGGGAACGGAGTGGGCGTGTCCGCAGGTCCTTTGTCCAATCCCCTGAGCCCCCGTCCTCACTCCTGAGGAGTCTTTGGGGGCCCCGGAGCCTCAATTGGCAATGGCGCGGCTCCCCTGGGGGGCTCCCCCGTAGGTTCCCGCATGAGTCTTTCGAGCCCAAGAGGGCCCCAACACGAGCCAAGAGGGCCCCGAGTCGCCGAACGATCGCTCCAAGACGCGCAAGACGGCCCCAGACGACCCAGGAGGCCTCCAAGACGCTCCAAGAGGCCTCCCAGGGGGCCTCCCAACAGGGCAAGACCAATGATTTCCTTTGGTCTTGAAAACTGTTTGGCGTTCTCCCCTCTCCGGCTCCGCGACCCTCCCCGTCGGCCCTAGAAGCACCCAAGAGCGCTGCGAGAGGCTTCCAAGAGAGCTCCTTGTGACGGCCCAAGAGGGCCCCAAGACGGCCCGAGGGGCGCCCAACACTGCCCAAGCGGCCCCCAAGACGGCTCCAAGAGGGGGCCCAGATGTGGGACCCGAACAAACATTTCGAGCCCTCGGCCCCGAGGTCCCCACAAGGAGGCCCCAGGAGGCCCCCGAGAGGGTCCAAGAGCCTCCGAAGAGGCCCCAAGAGGCCCCCAAGAAGCCCGCAAGAAGCCCCCAAGAGACTCCCAAGAGGCTCCCGAGAGCGACCCGACGATACCCCAAGAAGCATCCCTGAGAACTCTGACCCACCACCCAGGCACGGTAGCGGAATGGGCCGAAGGCCACAAGATCCGCCGCCCCCTGTTGGCTTGCCACAGGGGTGCCCAGCATGCTAAATCCTACCGCTCTTGGTTTTGACTCTCCCCTAGGCCTTCGGCCCGTCCCGCCGGCCACCCGGAAGGCCGCACCAGGGAGCACAAAGGCAGCACAAAGGACCTCAACGTCTGGACAAAATCCTCGAAGACGGCTCAAGATGGCCAGCAAGACAGCCCAGATGGCCCAAGATGGCCTCCAAATTCGTCCAAGATGGTCCAAGATGGCCTCCAAGGCAGCTCAAGAGGCCCAAGACGCCTCCACAACGGTCCAAGAGGCCCCAGAGGCCCCAAGAGGCCTCCGAGATGGCCCAAGAGGCCTCCGAGAGGACCTCTGGGAAGGCCCAAAGCGCCCACAATCATTAACTTTCCTAAGAAGTTTTTGGAGGGGTTTGGCATTTGCTTCTTGTCGGCCTTCCGACGGCCCGAGACGGCCCAAGAGTGCCGAAAGATCGCCCAAAGATCGCCCAAGAGGCCTTCAGGATGGCCCCAGAACGGCCCAAGAGGCCCCCAAGACCGCCCCAGGAGGGCCCAAAGACGGCCCAGGGAAGCCCCAAGACAGCTTCCGACGGCGGCAGACCGGCCAGGAGCCCACCAAGACAGCCCAAGATGGCTCTAAGATAACCCACGACGGCCCCCAAGAGGTCTCCGAGACGGCCCAAGAGGCCTCCAATAGGGCCTCTGGGATCCAGCAAGACCCGAAGAGGCCAACATCATTGATTGGCCTGAGGTGTGTTGGAGGGATTTGGCATGTTCCTTTTGTTCGGCCTTCCGACGGCCCGAGACGGCCCAAGAGCCCCGCAAGATCGCCCGAAAGGCCTCCAGGATGACCCCAGAACGGCCCAAGAGGGCCCCAAGACGGCCCCGAAGACGGCAGTAAGACGGCCTAGGAGGCCTTCAAGACGCCCAAAAGATGGCCTCCAAGACGGCCCTGGAGCACTCCAAGAGGGTTCCAAGTCGGCCCAGAGAGGCCCCAAGACGGCTTCCAACGGCGTCAGACGAGCCAGGAGCCCACCTCCGAGACGGCCCAAGAGGCCTCCAAGGTGGCCTCCAGGAAGGCCCGAAGAGGTCAACATCATTGATTTGTCTGAGGTGTTTGGATGGATTTGGCATTTGCTTGTTGTTCGGCCTTCCGACGGCCCGAACCGGCCCAAGAGCCCTGAAAGAGGCCCGAAGAGGCCAAAATTATCCTGGCGAAGGGCCCAACCATATGCAATTGTGAATACCGTCGTTGAGGGTATCGTCTTCGGGGGATCTCCTCATGAGGCTGGGCGCATGCGAACGCTGGCATTTGGGCTATCGGTAGGGCTCCCTGTGAGGTCACGAAACGTGTGACGCTGGCATATGTTGCCTGCGGTTGGGCTCCATGTGGGGCCACGCCACGTGTGAGGAGCGTGCCAAAATGGGTGCGACTGGCGCATGCGAACGCTGGCAATTGTGAGGGGTGTGCCTCAATGTGTGCGGTGGGCGCATGCGAACGATTGCAGTTGGGGGCACGAAACGTGAAAATGGTGTGCCCAAATGGGCGCGGTGGGCGCATGCGAACGCTGGCATTTGGGCCTTTGAGGGTTGTGCCAAAATAGGCGCGGTGAGCGCATGCGAACACTGGCAAGTGGGCCTGTCGGTGGGGCTCCCTATGGGCGACGAATCAATCGTGTGGGGGGTGTGCCACATTGGGCGCGGTGGGCGCATGCGAACGCTGGCATTTGGGACTTTGGTGGGGCTCATAATGGGGCCCCGAATCGTGTGAGGGGCGTACCAAAGTGAGCGCGGTGGGCGCATGCGAACGCTGACAGGTAAGCCTTCGGTGCGGCTCCCTGTGGGGCCAC